TTGTTGATGATAGCATCTAACCTTAACCATTCTACAGACCTGTCTTTCATTCTATTTCAATTCCGTTAATCAAAACCGATTGCTACCATAGAATTTTGACTTCACTGATCACTTCGACTCTAACTGCTCTGTACCATGAAAAATCACCTTAACACCTCCATTGATAACCGTGTAAGTTTGATTCCAAGTCCACTCGAGTCAAGACAATAAACTCATTGACACAATGATGGAAACTGATTTAGTTACAATCAGTACTTTTCAAATCAATTTTATTTCCTTTATGGTTTATAAAAGTCTCACTTATTTAGAAGGTTTATTTATTTAGAAGCTTCGTCTATTCCGGGTATTGTTTATTACTAAGAATGTTCCAAATCAAGAACTCAATAATTTGTTATACAGGTATTTTGCACAAAAAAACCAGACAAAGTCGGGTAAGCAGAAAAAACAGAAACTATCTTGTCCAGAAAAAAAAAAAAATCCCATCCTCTTAAATATGCTTTCATCAAGATACCACATCATTACGTAACCACTCCGATAAGCTCAACGATTACCAACTGAAAATACTACGTCACTTCATCAATACATTTGCATGATCCATACTAATCATGCAATTAATCATAACCGAATCCTCTGATCAATTTATACTCCGTGTCCGATTCGTGACAAAAGGCTGCTCTGATACTTTCGTATCAGGCAGCTACATAAGGTAGCTGCGCAGCACGTGGTGTCACGTAAGACCAGTACGATCACGTATCTGGATATTTTACATTTCATATAATAAACACTTGATTCATACCCTGAGTAGATTGTATAGTGAAGGGTGTATTATCCGGGGCATTATATGAAGAGGATATATTAACCTATTATGCAAAACTTCTATACCTTTAATTATAGTAATACAAAATATTTCCGATCACTTCACTATAATAGTTTACTCTAAAAATGGTAGTTAACGTAAATGATGCAGATAATATCTCTCACGGACCCATGGGTCCGTAAAATCATGGATATCATTAGTTTCAACAAATGTCACCGGAATTAATAAATTATTATTAATTCCGGTGACTAATTCCTGCCACTGGAGATATTGCTAATAAATTTTTTTTTATTTTATTCTATTTGATTCTATCTTCGATGTTAAATATTGCACAGAGATTTCAATTCTAATTTTGTAGCTTTGGTATACAATTAATTTGTAACTCTTAAGAGAAAATTATTTACACTATACCGGTTGTAAAAATTACAATCAAATTAAATCCCATGACTAAACCAATAATAATCGGAACTAAGTTTAATATTAATAATATTTGGATTCTTAGAAGAGTAACCAAATAGTTGTATCATCGAGATAGAAAATTAAATAAACATTACCCTCGTATGAAATTACAAGAAAATTTCTTTACATTTACATATTCATTATTTATTTATTAGCACTTTGAATATTTAACAATTTATTTCTTTTATTTAATGAAATAAAACAAAATTATATCCAAATAAATCAAGCCTCATGCAAAGTATTTAATCTGAGTATTTAATCTGAAAAAGAATATTTATCATTTGTTGTGTGGAGGTGTGGCCGGGGTAGTAAGAATATTGTTCAATAAAAATTCACCCTTGCTATCAAATTCTTCATTTTGGCACTCATTTATTCTCTGTATTTCTTTCTCAATTTTTTGAATTTGTTTAATAAAATCTTGCACCATAATCTAAGAAAATTTAATTTGTTTTAACCAATTTTATATTATAAGATTCGATAATGCTACTAACCTTTACACAATACAAAAAATCTATCATATATCCAGCTTGTTGATCTTCAAACTTTAAAGGAATCTTGTAAGAACTAATATCAGCCAAAACACCAAATTTTTGATTTGGATACCTCGTATATTGTAGGAGATAGATCTCACCATCTAAAACAAATTTTTTTTTTAGTTTTAAGTAAATATTAGGGAGAAATATATTAAATCACCTGTCACATGAATTCTGCCAAGTTTGATATCACTAAATAAATCTAACAAATAATCTGAAATTCCTTTTACTTTCTTAGAATAATGATTGATTATTGTATTAAAATTGTTATTTAATGTTCGACTGAGTTTGTTATAATCATTATCACCATTAATGTTTGGGAGCTTAGCTTCACCCAAAATAGGATAAAAATATCCATATTGAACTCTATTATTTATCACATTTTCTACACGATAAGAAATAGCAATATCAACTTTTTTACGAT